GAAAGGACACTTCAGGGACACCTTAGCCAGCTCATTCGCTTCTGCTTTCCTTTCAGGATACACAAGAGGGACATGACAAAAACCTGCATTTGAATGTATTTATGTCAGGTGTCATTTAAGGCATAATACAAAACTGTGGCCCACGCAGTTTGGAGCCACACTGTTCCCACAGCATCCACAGCGTCCTCTGCTGGGCACACGGCTCAGCTCCTGCGCAGGCCCAACACAGGAGTCCCGGAGCAGCCGTGGCCCCACCAGCGTCAGGGAATGCAGAGCCCAGGCTCATGTCCAGAGGCAGACATCTCTCCAAGGCTGCCTGACGCTTCTTTGCTGTTCACCGCTACCTTTAGAGCATCAGCCTGTATCGGCTTCCCCTTATCCTGCCTGCCCTCTCAGAGCCCAGCCTCCTGCATCATGGGATCTTCTCTCCATCAACCTTGTACCTGGAGCCTGGCTCAGTCACTGCCTGCCAAAATGAGACCCACATGGCCTTTTACTTCCGACCCCTTCTTACAGACATATAGGACAATCAGGAACCGAGCACCTGGTCTGGGGATTACTCAGGGCACCGGGCAGTTGTCTGGCCTTTGAGGGACCCTGAATTCCATACCTGGCACTGCAAAAATCAACCAAACAAGCAAGGAAACAACTAAAAACCTGAGCAGTTTTTTTTTTCATTTTTCGTTTTTATCGGTACCAGGGATCAAATTCACGACTGCCTACTTACAAGGCAGGCGCTTATGCTGCTGAGCTAAATCCCCAGCCCCTAGCACTGCCTTTCTTAATGAGCTGGAATTTCCATTTTGGTGTGACTCATGAACCATTCTTTTTTTATTTTAATGGTTTTACAATTTCATAAAGAGTTCTTTGATGACTGCAGTGGTGAAAGTTGTTCCATAGTAGTCACAGGAATGGTTTTCCTGATTGGTCCGTGGTCTTTGATAAGTGCGGGAAGTTACGGCAGGAAATGTCTGCTGAGCATAGGGCAGTGCTGGTCCATCCGTCCTCCTCGGGATTGCTGGTGACCTGGGCATCTCTGCCCCGAATAACCTTGCTTCCTATGTCACAAGGCCGGGCTCACCTTCACCTCAGTCACTGTACCTTTGGTCATAACACACAAAGTTGCATGTACAGGTGATAAAGGATTTTTTTTTTTCACGCCAAGTATTGGCCGGCAAAAGGTGGCTTTCAGTAGGCATTTGTAACATGGGCCTTCTTGAGTCCTAAGCCCATTGGTCTAACGAACGTTTCCTCTTTAGGTGGTTTTCTTTCAAGCCACAAAGCAGACTTTAGTGACCATCCTCTCTCATGCCTTCTCCACGTCAAATAACTTTAAATACTTCTGTTTCCCCCCACCCCCTCCTGAGACTTCCCATTTTCCTGCCTTTTCTCTTGGTTTTTGTTTAATCGTGTTGGAAAGTCCCTTTGCCTAAGACCCTCCCGCTCCATCCAGCAGATAGGCAGGTACTGGGCCCTGTGGAGTCTCTCCAGCCTTCTTTCCTTTGATGTTTCTCTTTTCATGCATCTTGAGAGTCTTCCTCATTTGTATTTTCTCATGGCAGCAGAGCTTAGCCTTCGGGCTGATCATTTATTTTATTTGTGGCCTTCTTTGCACGTTCATGAGCTCTCAACTCTTTTTCGAATGGTGCCGGCTTTTGGGGGGCAGCCTCAGGAGTATGAAGAAAAGTCTTGATTTTGGGGTCTCTTATACAGGCAAGCTGCCTCCATGCCGAACCACTTTGTTTTTAAATAAATTTATTTTTTAGCATAGTTTTAGAGCTTCTGAAAGATTAGGGAGCCAGCACAGCACCCAGCTCCTACTACGATTAACCTGCACACTAGGACAGTGCACCCCTCACATTTCCTGAGTCACTGTGGGTTCGCAACTGACTCCTTCCAATTCTGTCACCTTCTGTCCTATACTGTCACCTTCACAGTGTACACAGAGGTGGGGCCATCAGCATGACTGTGGCAGTTGATTTTGGCCTCATTGAGACAGTGCTGGGTTTGTGCTCTGTAAAATAGTTCTTGTGTTTTCACCTGGTGTCCTCTTTTTCTTCTGGGATTCCATCTAGGACTCCACATTTCGTGTCTTCACTGAGACAGGTTCTCTGACTTTTCTTGTTTTGATGACACTAACAATAGTTGAATAGTTCTGGGCAGCTAGTCTGTGGAATGCTCCTCAGTAGGAATCCCTCAGACAATGTTGTCTTGAGTTAGGGTTTCTGAAGATGAGACTGTCACCTTCACAGTGTACACACAGGTGGGGCCATCAGCATGACTGTGGCGGTTGATTTGGGCCTCATTGACAGTGCTGGGTTTGTGCTCTGTAACACTACCCTCCCCCATCTTTCCAGGTTACAGACTTTGGAGGAACATTGTATATGCAGCCCACCTTTTGCACTTTCATGCTTTCTGCCACTACCAGATGCTCCAGTCCCATCTCTATTTCCTGTTTCTGGTTCAGAATCAGGTATTTCTCCAAAGAGCCTTGGTTCCTTCTTTGCAGAGGTTTGTAACCATGATCTGAGTGACAGCTGTGTTCTTTGCTCCTGGGATGTCATTGCTTTGAGGCCCACTCCACCGACACGGTAAGGAAGTGCATGTGCATACGAACCTGCGGACAGTTTTTGCATGCTAAAAATGAGTTTCATACCAAGATCTCCAACTCTTACCTGTGACTACCTGGATCATTCTTACCTACTTCCTTGCTTATCTGTAAGTCTCACTCTCCCAGGGAGAAATCTAGTGCTCATCATCCGCTAGCAACTTTACTTGTTCAGTTTAGTACTGTGCAGCAGCATTGTAACTGCTAACCCACTCCCGTGAGAAATCGCATTGGCAGCCAGACCACAGCACCTGTGCAAGCTTCCTCTGCTCTTCTCTTTGAAGGTTCCACTCATCTTGAGCTGCTGAGGTCGGTTCCTCGTTCCCCTACCTCCTGTCTGCCAGGGCTTTTCATACATCTGTAATACCACTTGGTTGTTCTGTTATGTGCTGCATCCCACCCATAGATCCCCTAGCTCCCAAAGTGATTTTTTTGTTTGGATTTATTAGACTGTGTTGTAAAGCTCTATGGGGTTTGACAAATTCCCACTGTCCTCTCCACCATTCCTATCAACCAGAATAGTTTCATACCCACATGCCTTATGGATTCAACCCCCCAGCCCCAACACCCACAGATCTCAGCAAGGTCCCCTGGGGAAGTGGCACTGAAGGGGGTGAGGTTGGGCAGCCTTTCAGGCAGATGGAAACACCGGACTGAAGGCTGTGTTCACCAGTGACAACAGGGTTCCAGAACTGGGACATCACCTTCATGAGGACATGTCTCTAAGGTAGGTGATCGCCATAACATTTGGCCTGTCACATTTAAAGATTTTGTCAGAATGTGGGGTCATTATAAAAGAAAGCTGAGTCTAAAGCTGGAAGAAGTAACAAAATTCATACGCTGGTGCAGGACAGCCTTTAACAGCCCTTCCCAGTTTCCCAAGCAGCTTTTCTGAAGTTCCTGGGGGAACAGGAAGTGGCTCGGCTGATCAGAAACTCTCTTCCTGACTGCCAGGGGTTAAGATAAGCAGCCCTGGCTATGTCCTCCCACCATGTCACTTCCTGGGAGACAGCCAACCGTGGACTTAACACCTGAACCAAAGCAAACCTCTCCATCTTTAGTACTGGGTAACTTATCCCAATGATGGGAAACATGACTGTGTTTCTGCCATGGAATCAGACGCTTAAGAACCAAGTTTCATCACTTCCATCAAATAGTGCTCTGATGCAAAGAGGAGGGAGACAATGGTAGACACTGTGGGGATGTCTCCCAGAATCAGCTAACCTGTAGATACTTACTGGCCAGGTTTCAAATCACAACCCTAATTTTAGGGTGGAGACACTGGGGCGTTCTCTGACTCAGTCAGGTGGCTGGACAGCTGCCTGGGTCCTAGATGTGACACCACAAGACAGCACCTGAGCTCTTGCACTGGGGCCAAGGGCTGTCTCTGCAGGGGTCAAGATCACAGGTCAGTTTGCACATTCAAATCAAAGTGAGAGTCTGCATGGGCTCCTAGGTCTGCAACACTGCTGACACCGCCTGCATTCAAAAGCAATGTCTACCTGCAAATGTGCTTCAGGTTCTCAGGAAGCTGCCTACCCTTCCCCCCCATTTCTGAGCTGTCAGCGACCAACAGGAGATCTAAGAAGGCAGGTCTCCTGCAAACCCCAGGAAGCAGGGACAGAACTCAGTGAGCTTCTTTGAACTCTGCAATTAAAATTTCATGAACACTGTTCAAGGTAAAACTGTTACAGGAAATATGTTTCAGCAGTGCTGGCTGTCATGACTGAAAAATCAGACAGAAACTTCTGACAAATAAAATGGGTCATAGCTGCCTGTCTTTCTGTGAATTAGAGCAAAAACTATTTTACAAAGTCATCAGAAAGTACTCTGTGCTGATTCTTGCAAGATTCAAATTAGCGTTAAGTGCTGTGTCATTCTACACAGATACTGGCGATTATATCCTCTATTTTTGATTAGCAGCAGGATCATTATACAAGAAGTGATGGAGGCTAACAGGATCCTGATTCACCAAACAGCCTCATGTGTTTTTTACCTATTAAATGAGATAGTTCATGTGTGTATTTATATTTTATTTCCAAAAAAATAATTTAAAGTCACCACTTATAGAAGTCCAAATGAACTGACATCATAATGTTACTTTAACCATAAAAAAATACTTAGGGAAAAATGGTGATAAATTAAAATTTGTCATTTATGACCTTGACAAAAGTGTCTTTTTCCCCACAAAAATTCTCCAATTCTTCTAAACTAAATAAATACTAACATGTTTTCCCTATAGAGCACTCTTACATATTTTTGAGTTGATAATTTTTAACTTTATAAAATGAAAAATTAAAATATAAAGCTTTCTTCACAATTTCCCCAATATTCAATTTTTAAAAACTCAACATTCCTTTCTATATAGTAATTATATTTCAAAACACAGGGAATAGCTTTACCTTTTACTTAAAACATAAATGGGAAAATATAGCCATTTGGCATATCAATAAATGTCTTAAAATTTCCTTTAGAAAAGAACTGTTATTTCAAAAGGGCTTCAAGAAATCCGATACCATTTCGAGCCAATGATTACTTCTGAAATGCATGAGATATGAAGCATAATTATAAAAAGGCTAAAAAATCAAAAGCTTTCGCTCTTGGTTTTTCTCTTTTTAAAAAAATTCAGATGACTTGTCACATCCAGAGAGTTCAGGGCTGCAGCCTCAGTCGCCCTCGCCCTCAGAGTCGCTGTCCCCCCTCCTCATGGGGGCAGAACTCCGCACGGAGGACAGCAGGGCGTCCTCCACCGGCTTCCGGGGGTTCTCCTCCAGGTCCGTCCTGACGGCCCCCGCCTTGGCCAGCTTCCACTCCAGCTCTGCGAAAGGGAGAGTGGGAATCACACACAGCTCCGCAGTGTAGCTCTCCCCACACCCTTAAGCCATATATATGTATTTTTTCTTTTAAACAGAAAACATCATCAAAATTGAGCGGCAATCCTAGTGTCACAATTTTACATTGCTGAAAAAGAGGAAAAAAAGCTGGACCTAAAAAAAGGAAAATTTCAAACACGTTTACTTTTTCAGATGATGAGATCAGATGAGACATTACATAAACTTGAACCTATATGAAAACTACAGTAGAGACAAAGAGTAAACCTGTCCTCTGGTTTCACTATAGCCCCTCAGCTTGGACTTCAGCAAGAAACATTTAGAGGAAATAGCCTCCCCAGGTCACAAGGTACCTCCTTTGCCAAATCTAGTTTCAGTTACCTCAAGGAAAATGTCAGTCTAACTGCTGGAGATAACCCTAGAGCTAGTACATTTGTTCCAGGTGATGCCAAATGATGAAAAATAAGGTGCTGGAAAGTAAGCAAACAGAGACTGAAGACACAGTTCCTGTATTTCACTCTTAGAAATCGGTGAAACTGTAAACGGAGTGAGACCATATGAAGCCAAGTCAGGGGGTGCATTTCTCATCAAAGAACCCAGGCACCACCAAAGGATGTCTCAAGAGATCCTAAAAACAAAAGCCTGGCTGACAGGAAGGTCAGTGCTCACCAGCTACCAATCTGCCACATTTCCCAAAGTCACATTAATGTGCTCCATGGGGCAGCGAGCAGAACAAGCCCTGGGGATTTAACATACAGCACAGTGATCGCCATTAGGGACAGTGCATTAAATGCTGGAAATCTGTGGGTAGCATAGATCTTAAGTACTCCCACCAAAGGAAAAGAGAAGAGATAATTGCACCAGGTGGTCGATATACTAATTAGCTTGATTGTGGTGATTGTTTCATGTACTTCTAAAGCAAATCACACTGTATACCTTAAAAAATATATATATACTTTTTTTTGGTCAATTACATCTCAGTGGTGCTAGGGGATTGCTTCATGCAGATCAGATGATTATTCTCAGATTTAGGTACGATGGCTGGATGCTGTGAAAAAACAACGAATTTCTGCTACAAAAAGTAAGATTTCTGATTCCTGATTCAAAAATAGATTTACATATCCACACACACACACACACACACACACACACACACACACATACATGTACAAGTATCCTCGAGACTGCCTGGAAATACAAAGACTAGATATACCTGGACACAGCTAAGGTTTAGGTCCAGAAGTGGGGCCTTCAGGAGGGACTCATGTTGGTCTCCCAAGATTACATTGGTTCTCCTGGGAATGGATGGTTCTCAAGAGTGGGTGTTATAACTCGGGCCTGGCAGCTCTGGGTCTCTCTCTGCACAAGGGCCTGTCTCTCCTTCACTTCTCAACACCCACGTGACAGTGAGGCCTCACCAGATGCTGGTGCCAGGCTACACGAGCCAAACAAAACTCTTTCCTTCATCAAATACTCAGCACTCAGGTGTTTTGTCATAGCTACAGAAAGTGGATTCAGACTATATCTCATGATCTGATCCGAAAAGAGCAAAATGAGCTATCAATTACTTTGAAATACTGTCTACATCTTTGAACAATGGAATCATGTATAATCGATTCATCTCTATGTGTGTTAATGTTTCTATTTTCTCCAGGTGGGTATCTTAGTGGAATGTTTAAAAATACATTTCTGAAGACTAGTGTAGCTGATACATTATTTCAGTAAAGAAATGTGGTCAGCCCCACCACAGCCAGGGAGCTGGAAAGCAGGCTCCACTGCCCCTTGCCCAACCCCGAGGGCCTCTCACCATCTCTCGTTAGGTTCATGCCGCCGAACACCAGAGGACCGATGAACTGAGCCTTGATATCACCTTCACGGTAAATGAATATTGTGGGCAGGTTCCGATCGGGGTAATTGGGTATGCAGGTTGTTGAAATGGCCTTGATAAATTTGACATCAGGAAACTTCCTGGCCAGTCCGCTGAAGTGCTGATTGATCAGGGCACAGAGAGGAATCCTGCAGAAATGGAAGCAGAAGCAGCTATGACCCTGCACGTTTACAGAACAAAGCCCAGCTGCCCTGCTGCCCTCCATCAGGTGTGCACCCAGAATGGTGACGGGAACCTGCTAGAGACAAGCGGCCAAACTGAAATCCAAAGCCCATTTATTCATTGCAAAGTGGTGCAATTAAACCTGAATACTGAGGGTTAAATTCATATCTGTATCTTTTGTCTTAAAAGTGTGTGAGTGAGATAGGCTCACCACCACTGGTCTGGGAAGATGGGAGTCACATTTTTAAAAGGCTTGTAGCACGTTCAGGGAATGTGAAGATCTCAAATACAAAGCACAGGTTAGCTGATCCGACAGTAACTAGAAGGACAGCTTCAGGGTAAAAGGTTACAGCTATGTCATCTCACTCCATCTGGGTGAAGGAGAACCCGAAGGTTCAGAATTGCAAATCAGGTCAGAAAGTATCCCCTGCTTTAAACAAATTCTTCAACAAGCACTAGGCACCATAGTTTAAGAATGACACTGAGCCAGTGAGAATCCTAGGCATCCAAAGTGTCAGGAAGCATAATTATTATTAAGTTCACCCTTGGCCTACAAAAGCAAGGCATTACAGGGAACTTTAAAGTGCCAGGGTTTCCTGTAAATGTGTCCAACCTCTGGCTTGCTCTCTCCATTTTCATCTTATAATAAATACATCTTTTAAAAAGGAAGTAGCTACTTATGTGCATTAAATACATGATCTATTTTACACGTAGCCAGGACAATTCCTTGTCACTCCGTGTGGCCCCAAAAGCTGAAAGGCTGGTCATGTCCCCGAGAGATGGGGACTGACTCAGACTTTTTAGCAGAAAAACATGAAGTTTTATTTTCTGCTTTTACAAAGGTATCTGTATTAGTCACAGGTATCTCTCTGCAAGTCTTAAGATGAAATGAGACGGTAGAGTTGGGCAAATCAGCAACAAAACACAGCAATAGGGCAGCAAGTGAAAGCAAACGAAACCCTGAGAGGTACAAGTTCGAGACATAAATTCAAAGGAGCATCTTGCAGACTGCGAGGAAGAGGAGCTCACCCTTGCTTGTAAAGGTGCAAGACCACCCACAAGCCCTCACCGGCTTTGGTAACTTCCTGGACATAGTCCTTTCCAGAGATCTCCAAAACTTCGCCAAATTTATTCCTCAGTTGAGTTGCTTTCCACTCAGCCAGTCTCTGCTGCCTGCACAAGGGAAAGAAAGAAACACCTTACACACACATAAGCCGACACACACAAACACCCCCCCCACACACACACACTTACATCATCCGGAAGGCAAGGCTTGCTAATCATCTAGACTTACTTACCTATCTTACAGCAAGAGTTCAAGACCTCTCCGTTGCAATGTGCAGTATTGCTGAGTAACAGTCTTTCCAAATGTTACCTCAGCCATAATACTAACTTCTCAGGACACACCATCTTATTCCCCTGCAAAGCCCCGAAACATCCCACTAAGTGAACCAACCTGTACATTTCAATGGCCCTTTCGTCTTCCTCATTGAATTCATCTTCATTATCCTCTAGCTCTTCCAAAGTCATATCTTCATATGTTTTCACTAAATATAGTTAAATTGGCAAAAGGGAAAAATTTTAAAGATTCCCAAACAAGTATTTCAAGTTTTCCTCTTTTCTTTCCCTGAAGAGGTGCACACAACACCAAGACAGACACTGAGGGATTTTGCTACTAATAAAAACCCAAGAGCATTTTAAAGAGATTTACAAAAGTATTTGCCAGCCTGATCTGCTTACCTCTACATGGTAGTAAGAGCAGGAATACGAACTTTCCCAGGCTTATAAAATAAGAGAGTTACAAAGACTGATCAAAAAACATAGTGTGTTTAAGTAAAAAGGAAAAAATTATTAAGGTACAAGACACTCCATTAATCCCCCCCCAAAATGCTACCCTTCTTTTTGAGCACACTTATCCCATTATTCTTGCCACTTTCTAAAGCAGTTTTGAAGCCTCTTTTTGTGCATGGGATGTAACAATAACAAAAAAGGAGTATGCTGCTGCTGGGTGCCAGCCAATGACAAGGCAGCTCGTGAAAACTGACTGTGTCCTCATCCACTTTATTCACCAGATCTAGCACCGGAGACCTCTAGCTCCTCCTCGAAGTCAAAATGACCATGAAACGTCTTGGATCAATTCAGGACATGGAGGCAGCCACGACTGCACCTGAAGACCCTCAGAAAGAGCACTTCCGGAACTGCTGCAGGAAATGGCAGGAACCGTGGGATGAGTGTGCTCAGAGAAGGAGGGAGGATTCAGCAACATGTCTTTACTATAGTAAATTAAAAACAAACAACAACAACACTGTATTTTTTGATCACACTTTATGTATTTGCCTGAAAACTCCCGATCTGAGCGCGTGTGTATGGCCACGGATGGGGGTACCAGCAGCTCTCCTGCCCACAGAGGGGGCAGGTGGGTGAGTGGCCCCTCCGCCAGCATAGTTCCTGAAGCAAAGTGGGCATCGCACACTTCTCCCTCTTTTCTTGTTACCCACTGCTATGAAATCTGCACCCTACTTTTACTGCTATAAAAACTCCTACTTCTTGATATCAAGTCAGGCCCTTCCCTGCCCTTTTTTACTCTCTTTTCTAGGTCAACGATGACCCCGTTTCTTGATGCTGGGTGGCCCCTGACCCAAGAAATGCCTCCTCTGTGAAGATGGTCCTCCTCTGGCTTCCAGACTTCCCCCATGTCTCACCCTTTGAGCTCCTTGGTGGCAAAGATTCCTCAGGGCTTGGTCCTTTCGTCTGTCTGTTTATTTTTGAGAACAGAGTCTCTTTACGGGGCCCAGAGTAGCCTTGCACTGCGTATACAGCTCAGGCTGCCCTTGGACTCGTGATCACCCTGCCTCAGCCTCCTGAGTGCTAGGATTACAGGTGTGCAGCCCTATATCCAGTAAGGCTGCCTTTGAGTCTTTTCCTCTTTACCTGTACCTTCTTGGGTGACTGAGTCGAGTCTCATGGCTTTAAATACTGTGCCTATGCTGACGACTCCCAAAGTTAGGCTTTCTGCTGACTTCCCCAACTGGAGAAAAACAGACTCAGCACCCACTCAGCATGTCGGCCTTGTCTAGCAAGAATAAAAAAGACAGGTCCTGGACAGGGTCAGACGTCTCCCTCTGAAGCTGCTCCCCTTCCAACCTTTTCCCCTTTCAGGGCAAGCAGTCATCCTTGTCCCAGCTCTCACAATCCTCAGATCCCCAGGATGTCCAGGGGCCCCAAAGTGAGCCCTCTCCCATCGGACTGGCCCAGGCCAAGGAAGCCCCAGCCAGAAGTAAAAGCCAAGGCCCAGAGAAACCTTTTACCACAACATCTGGAGGTTTAGAAAGTTTGTTTCCAAACCCAAATAATCACAGAAGGAAGTCAGCAAGCTCACCTACTGACTGTTGGAGGATCCTCTCCTCCTCCTCTTCCGCCTCCTTTTCCAAATCCTGCAGGCTTTCCTTGGAGGGCAGGATTCTCTTTTTGCGTAATATGTCATTCCACTCCGTGTCTGCATTGGGGTCCTTGAATAGCAGGAGTGAAGACAACGTGAGCGTCCAGTCTGGTACAGGGGGCACATGGTCCAATGGGCAATGAGGATGTAAGGAATGCTGGCCAGATCGCTTTGGGGCTGTGTCAAAAGACCCACAGTCTCCTCGCAAACAGGAGCTCGGCTTGGGGTACAAACCAGGGTATGATGTACAGATCAGCATCCAGGCTGAAACCAAGGTTCTGAGCTTCTGAGCATTACACTCACCCAACTTACAGTGATCTGGTCAACAGATATTTGCATACCCACTACATATAAATTACAGCATAGCTAACTCCCATCTGGGTCAGTGCAGAAGGCAGACAGAGGACAAGTTCATATACACTGTATTCTCTTCCTAGATGCATACTGTGATTGCTGGTCTAGAATTAAAGGGGACTGGCATACCATAAGGTGGACAGAGATGTTCTTTAGAGCAGGTAACACTGCCCACTACGTAAGGGTGGGGAAGAGTGGCCAAGTGAGAGTGGTGATTTAGAAATAACTTCCCAGGCAGAGGGACCAGCATAAGTAAAAAGCCCCAAAGGAAACAGATTGTGACAATCTGAGCATGTCAAAACCATGGTTGGTGACAGAGGGGAGGAGGAAGACTGAGGTTAAGCTCACAGTTTTAAGGTCCAATCGGGAAGGAAGAGCTGAGACCCCTGGGGGTGGCTCTTAATAGCTAAATTTATTAAATACTAAGAGACGGGGGCTCAGCCCTCCAGCTGTGTGTGTATCCTCCATCCTGGAAAGCTGAGGTGAGGCAGGGAGTTTAGAAAGTTTGCCACCTCCCCCACACACACCCGGGCCAAACTGCCAGAGCCAGTGCCACATCACAGATGTCAAGGTGGGCTCTGCAGGTCCTGAACCTGCACAAGTACAGGTGTGCATGGCCTGGCAGCACAACTCCTGGTGCTCAGTGTCAGCCAGGAAAATGAGCTCAGGGAGCACTGGGGAAAGCACGTAGGGCAGCTAAGTCCAGCTCCACTTGTGTGACCCAGACTTGCTGAGATGTATGGAAAGAAAGGCTACCGACAGGATTCAGGATTCCTTCCAAGAGGTGGTCTGGGATGGGCTGGGGGGGGGGCAGCCCGGGCCCCTCTGTTCCTCACTGCAGGTCGGGGCCGACTTGCTGTAACTGCAGATGATCACCCCCTCCCTCTCTAATCAAGGCCTCACCATCTCTACTTCCCATCTGCCTTTGAGTGGAAACCACTGGTTCAAAACTCCTGACCACAGCAAGCTCAGGGAGGGCTGGATCAAGGGACTGGAGCATTTGGTTGTCACTAATGTTTTGTTCTTCAAGGCCATTTCTATGAGTTTTCTTTCATTTTTGCTGGGCTTTTGTTAAATTCCATTAGCAAAGTCCAAGGAGGGAGGAGGGAAAGCAGAGGTGAGAGATAGGGAACCTAACTAGGAGACTCCGACAGCATTTATTTTAAAAGATTAAGGCTGAGCAGAGGGATCCCAGAGCTGAAAGGGGGAAGCTGGGCCGAGCAGCAGAGCGAGCCACCAAGCGTGCAGGCCGGTCCCAGGCGCCGGGCACCTCGGGTTCCGGCCTTGGCTCGCGCGGCGGGGCGCTCATTCCCGGCTCAGTTTCCGGGTTCACACGCCGGCAAGGGTCTCATTAAGGAAGTTAGCAGCAAACGACTTGGGTCTCCTGAGACCCGCTAAGTCCTTCAGCGGCTTCACAGGCCACCCTCTGAGGCAAGGAGGGCGAGGGATAGCCTTCCAGGACCGAAACTCGGGGAGCGCGCTGGTTGGGGAGGGGCACGCCCGTCCTCCCGCACTGCGCCTGCGCGGGCCTCGACAGGCTTAGCGTCTGAAACGCGGCCCCGGCAACTCTTACAGGCCAAGCGCCCGCGGCCGGAGCAAGCCCACCAGGTCCCACTGGAGCAGCCCGCCTCAGGCCCCCGCAGACCCTGCCTTGCTCACCTGCATCTCGGCCTCCGATTGCTAGAGCCGGCCCCTCCGCGGAACCCCGACCTGGAGGCCCCCCTCTCTATTCTGCGCACGCGCACAGCCGAAGCCCCGCTTCTTCCCACCCACAAGCGTGAGCTGGGTGGAGCCAAGGAGGAAACGAGGCCTCTGCGCAAGCAGCAGTTCCGCGATCTCTTAGCACCGCGATCTCTTTTGCGCATGCGCGATGCCGGATTCCTTGAGCAGGGAATCATCACCCGGTGCCCTTATACGGGCTTGGCGGCTGGGGACCGGCGGGGCAGACGGGGCGGTGCCCGGGAGTGACGCGACTTTCTCAGCCTCCTGCCCGAACCTGCGGAAACGTCTCTGCCCGCCAGACGTAGAAGTCAGAAATAGAAACGCGTTCCGCCCTCTGACGCTAGGAGTCAAAAGCTTTCTGGCCACCTGGAGTTCACCCACTACGGAGTCGCTGTCGGGTGTGACTGCTCCTTCCTGAAACCGATTTCCCGAGGGCCTCTGAGTGCTGGCCACGACCCTAGGCTCCGTGGATTCGGCGGTGTCCAAAGGGACCAAATGGCTACGCTTGCCCCGGCATAAACTCCAGCACCACCCGCAAAACAAAAAATATGACTGGTGGAAGTCATTGCTTCTCGTTAAGGCTCTGGGGACTGGCATTGCAAAGTGCTTAGATTTGCGGCGCTGGGTAGAAATCATTAACCTGCCTATAGGATGCAGCTGCCAGGCCCTCTCGCCGGTGTTAGAGGGCTGCAATACACGTGGGCTGCTCCTGGAGGCCACATACCTGTGGGCAGGACCGAAGCTCCCAGCTTTGACTAGGCAGATTGGGAGCAATGAAGAACAGCGGAGGGGAAGGAAGGATTGAGCCCTCCAGATAGTAAAACAATGCGGTGTTGTACTGATGCTTGAATAGACAGAAGGGTCAGAGGAACAGTGTAGCAAGCTCAGAGCAGTTCCAGAAATGGAACCAAATACACAGAAGCATTAGGATTAGTGTGCATAAGTCAGTTTTCCTGTCCCTTGGAGAAGAGGTGGCATTTGAGTGGGATATTGCCCCATGGCATTGTGGCATTGTGTTGGGACATTTGGAAGAGCATTGGAAAGTAGAGAAATTTGGGTACATCATCATATGAAGTGTGTGGGTGTGGGTGTGTGTTTTGAGTCAGGATTTTCCTGTGTAGTTCCAAATGGCCTTGAACTCACTATGTAGCCAGGCTGGCCTGGAACTGGTGGCAGTCCTCCTGCCTCAGCCTCTCTTAAGTGCTGGGATTACAGGCCTGCACCACCAGAATTTACATCAGAATACACCAGAATTTAAAAAGAGAACTGAAAGTGCTAGATTTTAAAATTTAAAATTTTTTAAAAATGGAGAAAGATTTCAGTGATTTATTTACATCCAGAAGGCAAATTTTATTTTTAAAATTTTTATTTTAAAGAGAATAAAACCAAGCAAAATAAAACACTGTAAATGGTACAGGATTTCAAAACAAGATAATAAGAAATCAACAATGGTTACCATAATGCCTCTTGTCTTCAAAATAGCTGCCTATCTCATCAGTTATAATAAAATCAAACAGAATAGAACCAATAAAAACAAAACAAAGATTTCAAAACAAGATAATTGTAAATCCAGAATGGCTATCATAATATATCTTCCTTTCTTTGAAATAGCTGCCCATGCCATTGGATATAATAATTAAGCAAGACCATATGAGATAAAACCCAGCCCAACAAAGCAATGAAAATGATATAGGACTTCAAAGTAAGATAAAAGGGAGTTAACAATGGCTACCACCTTCAGAAGGAGATTCCCCATAGATGCTACATTGTGTATTTCCATCCTCTGAATAGACCATCAGACTACTGGCTTTACACCTGCAAAGACAATGAAATACTAAACACTACAGCATTAACTTGTATTTTACCTCAATAGCTATCATCACAGCCTGTGTTTCTCCAGATCAGCTGCTTGCTTATGAGAGGAGGTGGGGTGGAGCAAAGCTGACTCTTATTGTCTCCTTGCCCTCCTGCTGGAAGGGACTGGCATCTGGTTCTTCCCTCAGTGGCCCTTGCATGGCGCCGACTCACAGGGAGGGCTGGTGACTTGTTGACTTCTTGTTCTCTTCCACTGCAGTCTGCAAATGGCACTACCAGAAGGCAAATTTAAAAAGTAAATAGGTTCAACTACATTTTTTGCATAAGAAGACTGCTTAGCAGCATGGTGCTTTTTGTGTAAAAAAATACATTTGTGTGTGTATTAATATTAAATTTTGCAAGAAGAATCAGGAAAATGGAAACAATTGAGAAGGATGAAGTAATAGAGGCAGAGATGGGAATGAGAATCCTAATAAATTTTATTTAGCAGCAAAGACAATTTTGTGGAGTCTGAAACAAACAATCTTGAAGGTATTCTTTAAGAAAAGAATGTAAAATTATGCATGAGAAATTTGGCATGACTGTTTAAGCTGAAAGAGTTACAAAGTTACAATTTATGAAAGCTGACAAATTCCACAGATATCACAAACCAGAAAAACACTACCCTTCTCTTATTGTCTGACAGGTTTCTATAGACTGACTTCCTGGTTAGTACAAGTCAAGCCTGTTTCTTCCAAAACTACTCAAATACCTACCCCACACACAGCCCCCACAATTCCATTCTTTTGTGACTTTGTACTCTCAGTCCCTTCATATTCCTGAGTGAGGCTGGATAGCTGTCTCCTGCAAGTCATTTCTCACCAGGGATGACCAGAGATTATCATGCATGTAAACAACTCCAAGCCATATAAACATATCAGTAAGTACAACCCCGGACTCAGTTTTTTCTTAGGGGTAGTAGTTTTTGTATTCATTGTAGAGCACTTTAATAAATTGTAATTTTCTTTCCACTAATTAATATCATCCTTGTGCAAAACCTTGGACTAGCTTTTACCAGATTTTGTTTCCATGTCCTTACATCTAGACATCTCCATAATAAGGTCAATTTTCTTGATACTTTTGGGCACATTGGCTCCTGGCAGAGATGGAAGACTTGGGGTTGGCCTGCCCACCCTTCCTATCAGTGCCTGCTTATTCCCTGTCTCCCTTCTGGGACAGGTGTTCATGATCCCTTATAGATAACGAATGGATTTAATAAAACATGGAGCAAAACAGAAGTCTGAAGTTATACACAGTACGGAGATTTTTTTAGCAGGTAAACAGTAGACACAGTTCTCCATTTAGCTCAAGCACCTGTGGAAATATGGCTCAGATACGCATTACCAGGACTCTCCTGTGACATGCAACTATGTGGGACATCATTGTTTCCTTATGCGAGAAATTTTCTAGGCAGAATGCCTCGTGTTCATGACTCCTGCACAAATCCTTGGAAAACTACTGCAGCTGGCATGAGCACTTGGTGACTGTGAGTCTTTGCATTACCGAATCCTGTGTGGGAAAATGGTGCTATTAGCCCAGGTTCCTTCTCGTGGGGAAAGAAGACCTCAGAGTCATTTAGCAAGCTGATCTCAAACTGTCCTAAAGCAGAGAGCCCATCTGTGAAGATGCAGTGGAGTGGCAGTGGTTAAAAGAGCAGTTCCCATTTGTGCTCTTCAAAGGAGCCATCATTAAATGTGGGGCTCCGTGGCTGCTGCCAAGGAAACCAGAATTCATAATCCAGATGTGTTTCTGTTTGCTCCTAAGGCACCAACATCCCAAGATTTGTGTGTATTTTTACTGTTAGTGAAAAACTGTGTTCCTCCCACCCCTGGTTTACTTGTCATTAAACAAACTATAATGAAATGAGGTGAAAGTGCACTGGTGGGTCATTAGGGGTGATTGTTGGAGACCATTATGAAGCCACTCTGAGCAGGATTTAAAATGAACTCACTGGCTTTCTATGTTTATCTGTGAGTCTGTCCTAGGCCCTTGGGAGCTGATTCATAGTAAGTGAACCTCTCTGAATCACTGGTCCTGGCTGAGGCCTACAGTGGCCTGTGATGCCAGAAATAAGGCCACAGCTAAGGACACCTTGGCTCCAGCTCTAATTAAGTAAATAGAGACTGCAGTTGTAGGCATCTTACTCCTGCAGTCTCACTCGTACCATAAACGTCATCCTGGAGATAGTTCTCCTAAATTGTCATAATTTACTACTTGGAGAAGTCTTTGAAGTGACTCCCAAGGTCCTGCTCATTTCCCGCACTTTCCTCCGTTTCCCCACCCTGCGTTTGGACCTAATAAATATGGGCAGTCCAGAGAAGTCTTTGTCTTAGCCTTCAGCATCTCAAACTCAGCTAAAGGATTTTGACACTCTTGGAGCCCTAAAATTATACCACTTGTCTCATTTATTTAAGCCTTCACTGTACACTCATTTGGGAGATTGGGGATCTAGGTCAGGATCCGACAGCTTCCCCCCAGTTTGAGACCAGCCAGATTTCAGTCTTTAGGAGGTGGGAATGTGAGGATGTGAGGCACAGGTGATGTGTGGAGTGAAAACTTCCTTGAAACTTGAGCACCAGTGAACCCTCCTTAGGAGGCAAACAAGCAGGAAAGACATATCTAGGAGAAAGTTTAGTGATCTGAGGTTGTGGAGAGGCTGCTTTCCCAGACGGCAACCTGGCTACTGGACCTCAGCAATCATTTCGTAGGAAAGCAGTCACAATGGAAAGAGAGGGAAGCACTTGATTTCAACGATGGCTTACTAGTTAAGGTTTCCTGGTTTTCATAAGGAGTGGATCACAAAATATCACTTACTAGGAAATTGCTAAAAATGCAGATTTTGGATCCAACTTCCAGAGCCTGTGGTTCTGCAGGTGCAGGGAGGAGCTCACTCCCCACCCTTGGATAGCTGCTAGGTGGTTCCAGCAGTGATGGTCTTTAGGCTACATTTTGTTTCACTGGAATTCTACGTCATCTTTAAAAATGGTCTTGCAGACTCTTATAAGCATTTTGTATGATGTTATATAATGCCAAGTAGAAAAAAGCAGGTATAATTAGGACATATGGTTGATTTTACATCAATCAACGACAGGTTGAAAATATTCAGGGAAAAAGCCATACCTGAGCTGAGCATGTACATTTGAGCATCTGTAATGCTCATACCCGACCCATATCATCATCTCATCCCCAGGTTCCTGCAAAGCTCCAACCCAAAGGATTTCTGCAGCCACTGTCTGAGCTCTCACTGGTAGTAAAAGGTGATCTTTCTCCTGTTTAAACTTGGCTCCTCATGAACTCGGAATGGGGCATCTACCTATTAACAACTCTCTAGTGCCGTGTGGTGGCAGCCTTCAGCTCTATCACCATAGCTTCCACAATACCCTCAGTGCTACGTTCCGGTCACCTTGCCCATCTTTTCACAGTTCTTCCTTAGTGGAGAACTCACTTTTGCTCCAAATCACACACACAGCTCCCAGAATGCTCTGCACTTCAGCCCCAGTTGACAACTGTGCTCTTCTGTGCTTCTCCACCTGCCAGCTCTCAGGTCCCCTAGTAATCCACACAAGACATGCCCTTCCTCCCACTTGGAAATAAACTTGATACAGTAGATGAAATGACAAACAGAATGATTTTAAATATTGTCATGATTTACCTATGAAAGAGAGTTATATATATATAATATATATATATGTATACATATATAGTTTTAAAAATATTTTTAAAATTTTTTAAATGAAAAAATAAAAACATTGATAAACTCAAAACAAAATAATAAGAGTTTAACAATGGTTAATATATTGCATGTTATCTTCAAAGTAGTTGTTCAGATTATAAGATATTGGCATGAAAAATGATCAAACAATGTAAACCATTCTTTTTGATGAATTAACAGAGATGAATGGTATAGTTATGTCTTGTATATATATATACACAGATATATACACAAATGTATATAATCTTTTTCCCTCTGTCTTTGCTTCTTTCCCTATCCAAATTGTTCTCTCCTTTTGAGCAGTTTCTTCCTCTTTTACTTTCTTTTTTCTTTTTTTTTTTTTTTTTTTTGTCTTTTTCGTTTTTATCGGTACCAGCGATTGAACTCACGACTGCCTGCTTGCAAGGCAGGTGCTTATGCCACTGAGCTAAATTACCAGCCCCTCCTCTTTTACTTTCACAATATCTACTGTGTATTTGGGGTCTTATTTAGTCTTTCAGTTTTTTACACTGAGAAACAATATATTTACACTTGTGAGTTTGATTTATTTCACTTACGAGTATGGTCTCATGTTGCATCCATTTACCTATAAAACTTCAAATTTATCCTTCTTCATAGATAAGTAATGCTCCATTGTATAAAAGTACCACATCTTTCTTATTCAGTCCTTGGTTGATGGGCACTTGTGCTGTTTCTAAGATTTAGCTATTACAAATTGTGCTGCTATAAACATGGATGCACATATATCGCTGTGGTGTGATGTTTTCGATTCTTCTGGGAAGAAGGGAAGTAGCTGGATCAAATGGGACCTCCAACCCTAGTTTTTGAGGAATCTCCACACTGATTTCCACAGTGGTTGCACCAGTCTACACTCCCACCAACAATAGAGAAGTGATCCTTTTCCCCCACAGTCCCTTCAGTATTTGTTATGGGTTAATTTCCTGATGATAGTAATTCTTCTCAGAGATGAATTCTGTGTTATTTCAATTTGCATTTCTTGAATGACCAGTGGTGGTGAACATTTTTTCATGTATTTATTTGCCATTTGTATTTCTTCATCGGAGAAGTGCGTACTCATCTCAGATGCCCAATTTTGGATTGGGTCTTTCAATTTAGGGGGCCTGATATTTTTCAATTCTTTGTATGTTCTAGATATAAGTCCTTTGTCTCAGGGACAGTTGGCTATAAATTTTTCCCATTCTAAGGGTTTTCTTCCCAAAGAATAATATATTTTGTACATGAAAATTCTCCAGTGCAACTACATGAGCAAACATAGTCAAGTAGTCAGGAAATGACAAATTTCTAACGAAAAAATTTTCCTTTATTTCTGACCTTTTGACATGAGAGCTAAAGAAGCATATTTGTCTAAACATAAGTGAAATCACTGTGAGTTCAACTAATATTAATGTGGACTAATGCTGTGTGTTGCCTTGGAAACTGAAATACCACAAGCAGAGTGACTTGGTTTTCTAAAATGGGGAAAAACTTGGTAAAATTCCAGCCAAAGTACAATTTCCCCTCAATGTAAAAGAAAACTACTTTCCTGAAAATTTTGTATATTTCTCAAAAAATTCTGTTCAAACTGAACAAAAATTTATGCTTAAACATAAGCAGATTTTTCAGCTTTGTGAAAGTTCAAGACTTTTCTAGAACAGCAGCACTCCTGACCTCTGCTCATGCATGCCAGCATTATTCCGTTGCCAACCAGGCACCATAGCAACCAATAAGCCTTTGGTGACTTCCAAGTTGTCTCCTCAATACTGGGCCTTGCCTTCCAGGGAAACCATGGCCTTTACCTCAACTTTGTCAGCTGATACGTTTAAAATCACCTATTCACTTATCCTAACATCAGCAAAAAAAAAAAAAAAAAAAAAAAAGGTTTGAAAATTTAAGAAAATATTGAGAAAAGTGTGTTACTTTCCAAAGCACAGAGTCCTTACCTTGTTGGTACAATCTCCCCCACAGAAAACTGCCCACGAGCCCTTTTATACTACCCATGGAGACAGCTTTGTGCAGAGCTAACACTCTACACCTCCTTCACAGCTTATGCATAACAATTAGGAGGTAGAAAAGACCACATGGGCTGTATTTTGGAATTATCCTCAAATGTGAAACACGTAGCCAAGCCTGTAGCCCTCTCCTCTCTGAATGTCAACTCTCACCTTCTCTCTACTATTTCTACTCTACCCACTTTGGCCCATCCTCTAACACTTGCACAGGCTACAAGAAGGGAAGCTAGGAGTCATGTTTTACAAACTCCTACCTCTTTCCTTCATCAAACTTGCATATCCTACTCATTAAGTTTGGCCCAAAGCAGATTCCATATATATATTAGGTTTGCCCTAAAGCTTTCTCTGTAGGTAGAGAATTGTAACCTCACTTGATATGTAAACCAGTTGTAATCTACTCTTGTAACATGCAGCCAGGTCTCAGTCAATCATAGCAGCTGATGATCAGTCAACCAGAGATGGCCAACTATGCAAACCAGGTACAAACAAGGTAAGCACAGACATTAAACAACCCTCACTTCTATTTTCTGTATGTCTCCCCTTCTCCCTATTTGCAGATGTGATACCACCATGTGGCAGCCCCAGAGTTGCTCTGAATCTGTTTTGGTCCTGGGAACTTCCTGCTTCCGTGACTTGGTCCTTGCTAGCTAAACTGTGTTAAATTAGCACGCTCCAGTAACGATCCCATCCTGTGCCTAGCCCGTTCCAGGCTGCACTGGCACAGCTAAGCATGGCCGCAGAAATGCACACAATCCATTTGACTGGTGTTACTAAATCTAAATTTTAGATTACATGTCTCTAGTGGGCTCCCCTAGCTCCATTTCCCTGGCCCATTCATTTTATTTGCCCTAAAGAGCTGTTTCATACCTTCTCGTTTCTTCCCAAAGTCTCTCTGGCTTCTCCTTCTCATTTTCAGGAGATGCACTTAAATTTTAATGGAGACAAGAAAAGCAATCAGAAGGAGCCCTGACCAAGTTCTCACTATGGACTCTAGTCATCCATGTGTACTGCTGCCTACCGACCCCATGACCTTCCAGCTTTGTAACTGTCCTGTCCCTGATGTGAGCACACCTACTGTGTGGCCAGGTGGGTAAAAGTGTAGTAAATACAACTGTGTGCAGTACTTAATGCTTGATCATGGTAATAAATGCCTATGTCACTGGTTCATGTATTCACTATGCGGTGCCTTAACTTCTAATAGAAGTTTACTATAAGCAGCATGCTGTGTTAGCTTGCAGAAGTCTTGTATGTGTCCCGTTTACCTGTCTGTTAATGACAAGTATAGTGACTAACCTACACCCCCTTGACGTTTACAAACACCCTGTATCATGTTAGCAAAACAACAAAATTTGTGTATTAACACATTTATCAGAACTTATCAAATCTCAACTACACAGGACTCTACTGCACCTCCAATGTGTGGACTAAAAACCTTTCTTGACTCACGTGAGTCTTCAGCTTCAGACACTGTTTCTGGAGCCCTTTTCACAAATCTCCCACCCAGCTGAGCTCATGACCTCCTTCCTTGCCTCACTTCCATCCTCCCAGCACAAACTCAGCCACCTGCTTGGTGCGTGGTGGGAAAAATGCCTCTTACGTTGCTTCATCCATTAATATTCTACCAGTGCATTTTTGTATTTTAAAATTGCCCACATTCATTAAATGTTTCATAAGTTTCAATTCCTTATAGATATAAAAATGTTATAAAAGGCATGACTGAAATAAATTTGAGTGTTTATTAATTGACCTGTATGTCATTTCATTACAAATTGCATTAAAATATATAATATTTCAGTTTTGCAATTGTTTAAGTAAACAGCATGACATTTGTTTTAGTTACTTTCTTGTTGCCAGGACAAAATATGTCACACCGATTAGTTAAAGGATGAAAAGTCTAGTTTAGCTCACAGTTTTGTAGAGTTTTCAGTCCTCAGTCAGCTGACATCAGGCCAGGGCTACATGGTAGAGGGCATGACTGGGGATAAACAGTCCATGAAATGGCACACAGGAAGCAGCAAAATGCCTTCTCACCCTTTTTGTTCCATCCAGGCTAGAAGCCTGTTGGTTGGATTATTTTTTTTTTTTTGTCTTTTTCCTTTTTATTGGTACTGGGGATTGAACTCACGACTGCCTGCTTGCAAGGCAGGCGCTTATGCCAGTGAGCTAAATCCCCAGGCCCAAGCTTGCTGGTTGGTTCCACCCACAGAGGGAAGAGGGGAGGGTCTTCCCTTTTCAGTAAGTCCATTATGTACACCCAGAGCCATGTTTAACTGATCAGTGAACTAAACCAGTATCACACATCCATGATCTAATTACCTCCCCCAAACCTCACCTATGAGTGCATGAGGCACTGGGGGGACATCTATAAATAAACCATTAGCAGTCTTATCTTTAGCATAGAAATGCATATCAAGAGATTTTACTTAATGTAATATAATTTCACTAAAATAAACTCTGAAGCTTCCTCTGTGCTCTATAGACAGGTAAAAATAGAAAAATGTTTCAAACTGCTCAGAATCTCATAATGGGCAGAAGAACAAAATTTTTCACATTCAAACAAGAAAGAACATTCACAGCACATTCCCATGGTTACTTTGTATTCCTTAGGTTTAAAGTTATTTTCTGCTGGTATCTGTTCTTGGATATTAAATTGTAGTGGGACAGGCAGGCATGTGATACACATCTGAGGCACATTCCTAAGAGAAAGACAAAACTTATTGCCAACATTGTTTGTCACACTTTAAAAGTGGTTAGAGGTAAAAATAGAAATGATACAGAGTAATAGAAAAAGCAAGTTTCTTTCCTTCTCTCCTATTCTCTAGATATAAGCACAATAGCAATTTCTTGTGTACCTTACAGGACATTTACGCTGCATAGAAGCTCACATATGATCATGCACATCTGCTTTTACACCACATACATTCTCTAGGGTGCTCTTCAAATAAATGAAAAACACGTAAATGAGGTTCTCTTAGAAGTCCAGGATTTTATTGTCCACCCAGCACCAATTTCTCCTACCCGAACAGGTGCATGATTCTACCGTTGGCCCGTGGACCAGGACAGATGGGCTCATATTTTAGCTCAAGCTCTCACTAGCAGTGCAATCTCGGACAAGCTATTTAGCTTCCCTAGTCCCCTCAGCTTCCCTATTTTAAATATGGGGGTGACAGTAATAGTACCTACCTCAAGGGGCACTATTGAGCCCTGAATGAACTAACATAGCACTGGCACTGGAATATTCCATCCATGTTGGCCTATTCTACAGTCCCCTTATCCTTAAAATATAGGGTACAAAAATATGTACATCAAACAAAATAACTAGGGGACTATGCGAGGCTGGACGGTAGAAGAAGCCAGGAGTGCTGTCATTACTCAAACATAGATGGCAGTGTCTTACTTATCAGAGGGGTGAACGCTTAGCTCTGAGCTCCCTGGAAATCAGGGGACCCTCCCATCTGCTTCAAATCACAATGTCTTGAAGGTCAAAGCAAGTTATCAGATCAGGGAAACACAGGTTCCCTTTGTCTGAGACTCAAGAAAAATTACTACGTGGTCTAAATTTCCAATTTGCTCCCAGGAAAGTTTTAGGAGAAGGTGGCCCAAACAGAATCAGAGTGAGGGAGTCCCCCATGGATTTAAATCTGGCTTGTTTCCTGTTGTTTAAAATAAAACCACATGGCAGATCATAAATCTGGAGAAAAGACCAGTCTTAGGCTGAGTTTAAGGCTCAAAAGCTTGATATCAAATTATGTTAGAGCCAGGCACGGTGGCACATGCCAGTAATCCCAGAACTTGGGAGGCTGTGGAAGAGGTGTTGCAAGTGGGAGTCCTACCTGGGCAACTTAGTGAGACCTTGTCTTGAAATAAAAGATAAAAGATCTGGAGATATAGTTCAGGTCAAAGACCCCAGATTCCAACCCTAGCTACAAAATAAACAAATAGAATTAAACTAGGATGCTTAACTATCTTTAGTAAGGACACGTGCTCTCTGAAAGGCCACGACTGATCCAGGGTGGGCTGACTTCTTCCAGAGGCTCTAAGGGCTTGTAGCAGAAAACAAGACGATTGTGCTGCCTGGCTGTAGCCACCTGTTTTCTATTGCTATAATAAAATCCCTGAGACAAGGTATTCTATAAAGAAAAGAAGTTTATTTGACTCACAGGTTTGGAGGCTTGGAAGTCTATGCACGGCATGATGCTACCACTGATCAGCTCTGGCGTGTGTCTGACGGGGAGGGATGGATGGCATCATGTTGGGAATAAAAGAGGGAGAGTTCATGTGGTGAAAGTAAGTCAAAAAGAGTGAGGTGAGGCCAGAATCACCCCTTTATAACCACGTAGCTGGAGTCCCCTGAGCACTACTTACCCCTTCCGGGGAACTCCGTCCTCTTCAGCTGGTATCAGTGTTTCAGTCTGGCGGAAAATGCTTTTGATGCTTACGAAAATGTCAGAGTCCCGTAACAGGATATCAACTACTCCTCAGATTCCACCAACAATATTTCAGACAGAAATATTCACTCCTGCTTTGGAGGAGTGAACGACTGAGGCAGTCTCGCTGGTTAAAAGCCTTTCAGAAACAGAGAGGTCGTCAGTGGGAAGATAATATGAGGAGCACTGTAGAAAGAAATCAAGACACAGAGTTAGGCCTTTGTGTCTGCACCTGCAAATTCAACCAATGCTGAATAGATAATATTTGGGGGAAAGTGCCTGTATAATAAACACGAAAAGAAAAAAAAAACATGGAAAGGGAAGAAAATCATGATTCAGGGCAGTTTTCAGGTCGCATCTCAAAACAAAGACGGAGGACTTTTGAGGTCCAGGGCACATGCCTGTAGTGGCACCTTGGTTCCGGAATTTAATTCTTTCCGTAGTCCTGGGTAAGTTGGCTGTATTAGTGTTCATTAGCCAACGCCAAGTTCGCCAACTGAAGCAAAGCCTTGCTGAACACTTCTGTTTGTGAGCCAGTGGCTCGCTGCTGCATACCACGCTGCTGCCCCTAAGTGACCTCCTGCAGAGAGCACACAGGAAAGTAATTCAGGCGTGAGAAACTTTACCCAGGGTCAGGGCCTGCAGAGCCGTTCACACCTTTTATTGGAGGTCGCAGCTGTAACTGTCACAAATGATAAATTAACCCTAGACTCAGAAATAGTCCTGAAAATCAATCATGTTTGCCCAGCCATGCATAGCCCAGGGGAAAGCTAAGGTCTCTGGACCAATCGCCTTTATTTTCGTGTGCTCGTGGGAGTCTCTTCCTCTTTAAAAGTCCTGTGTAAGCTGAATCGTTTCTTTTTCTTTTTTTTTTTTTTTTGTCTTTTTCATTTTTATCGGTACCAGGGATTGAACTCACGACTGCCTGCTTGAAGGCAGGCGCTTATGCCGCTGAGCTAAATCGTTTCTTAGGAGCAACCATTCCATGTGGTCTAAATCTGCGTTTTCCAGAATTGCAACTCTCAGGCCTCACATGGATTTCTTTCACTCTTGTGGTTTCTGAGTTTGAATTGACACAACTACTTATGCTGCTTCCACCCTGTGTTAGGTATTGTGAGCCATCTAGAAATGATTTGAAGCACAGTAGAACATGCACATGTATACATGGTAAATACTTTGCCATTTTATGGAAGGGAACTGAACACATTAAGTTTTAACCTGAAATCTCACTTGAAACGATCTACATTAACTGTTTAATATTTTGCCACTAAGACTAGGGTTTACCTAAATCAGTCTGTAGATGTAGCAAATTCCACTGCAAGAGAAAAGATTTTTCCTCTTAGCCTTCAATACAGAACAGCAAGGCTTGGCTTTGAAAATTTCAGCTAATTAAGACTTTGATGACAAAATAAAAACATGAACATTTCAAAGTAAGAGTGATTCCAAAATTGACCAGATATACTTGAAAAAGAATCAAACTTCTTGGAGTAGAATTATAATTTTGAAAATTTAAAAACTCTGAACATACTAAATGTATGAACTGAGTTATATGAGAAAAAGATTTGCAAGTCAGCAGAGCTGAGAAGTTGTCCAGTGTGACACAAAGGAGCACAAAAAGACATTAAGAACCATAGAGAAAAGAATGAAAAGGTCGAATATACGTCTCACACATATTTCAACTGAAAGCAGAAAGAGGGGTGTCAGGGCTCCCCAGAGAAGCAGGGTCAGGGTGGGGTCAGGGTCAGGATGGACCCTGGCCCAAACCTTGGTTCCAACGATGAGGCTGGTGCTGACACATGTATGCATGGCAGGTTCATATGAAAGGTTTGAACTCACCTAGTGAGGCACTGGGGCCAGCAGGGCTAGAGTCTCCAGCAGGTCTGGGGGAATGATTCATTATAACACGGAGAGGAAGAAAACCTGGGATTCCAGGGCAGTTAGCATGTGGGTAAGGTGAGGATCCATGCACCTGGTGTGAACATCCCACTGCTATTGGGAAGGAGCAGCCAGGCATGCCCACCAGTTTGCCCTGGTGTGAAGCAGGAGGAAAAGAAGCAGAGCCACGGCTTAATGGCAGCCAGCCATACAGAAAACATGGTAGTGCTTGTATGGAACCACCCAGCTGACTCTCCTTGAAAAGAAGAGCAGCTGTCTCCATTTGGGATAAAACTGGCCCTGTCTCCAGGTATTGATATGTACAGGGATGACCAGGTTATTTCTTTGCTCCTTCAGGTACTTTAAGCAATGTAAACTGGGCTGGCTGAGGAGCTGATGCATAATCTCTGAAGCAAAGGACAGGTCAGTGTTACCCTGCCCAGTGAGTCCCCAAATCCCTGGTTGAGCTGCAGGATGGAGAGCCATGCTCCATGCTGTCAGCTGGGACCAAGCCTTGAGAAAGAGGCTGTGACTGCCCAGGCAGAAGGACCATGCATCAGAGCTGAACACCGACCCCAGAGTATTAGCTCCCACCTCAGCTGTGTTTGCAGATTGCTCCCTCTGCAGTTCTTGCCCTCTGCTTATCACAGAGGTGATCTGAGGCCTCCTGCCCAGCCCAGCTCACCACCACTCTCATTGTCACTCTTCCCGGAGCCACGTCCCTCACAGACAATTAATAAAACCCAAGCTGGGCACTGGGTGAGGCCCCTGTTCCAGTGAACACCATCTTGGCTGAACTTAGGACCCCTTGGCTCCCCGTAATTCTATATATGTCTCAGTGTCTTCATTCTCACCTTGAGTTGCAATGGGAAGAGGCAGATTGGGATTAACTCACTAGAATTCCAACAACTTCTCCATGGGATTAAAATATAAACCTTCCTGGACCACAACGAGGTTGGGGAAGGGTTCTCTCTAGGTTCTTTATTTCATGGGAGGAAAAAAAATTCAAAGAAGCTGAAAATTGTCAAAATTAAACAAAAATACTCAAATTTTGGAGGCACAATAAATTCTGAGAATTTATAAAATAAATCCACCACAAACATCAGAAACTACAAAACACTAACATGCTTGATGTTTCCTGTTCCTACTCAGGCTCCCCATCTACCCACTTATGAGCTCACTCTCATTACTCTTATGGGGCTGGAAGACTGAAAACTACATTTCATAGTTTTCCCGTGCCAGCTGGACTATCATTAGCTTTTTAATATCTAAAATGTGGAGGGTGGAAGAGCTGTTTCACCTCTTTGCCTTTGCTGAATTGGAGCTCAGGGTCCTGTTGGAGACATCAGCACTGTGGGAAATACTGATCCCTAAGTAACACTGTGCTGTGCTTCACCCCTTCTTCTCTGCCAATGCTTTGTGAATGTTCCCTGCCATCCTTATTTGCTTAGAAGATGCAGAGTGACGTTACCCAATAGAACTTTCTATAGTGAGGGGACTGTTCTATATCTGTGACGTCCTGTCCAGTCACTGTCATCACCAAAGGCCATGGAGTCCTTGGGGTATTAATCTAAAACTGAATTTAAACAGCCACACGTGGTGGTGGTTCCTGGGTTGGCCAGCACAGTTTTCACCCAGCATGGTTATTGGTGTGCTGTGATTGCATGAAGTTACAGAGGCTAGGAAGGCTTTGTTCTGGAGGCAGAGGACTGATACAAGCTAAATGTGGAAGACGTGTGCTATCAACTAAAGAGCAAGTATCTGTAAGTGAAGACGAGAAGCCTAACAAATTCTGCAAAAGCCTTGTGGCTGTCTCCCTAGATCCGACTCCCGCTCAGGTTCCTGCACAGCACAGGGTCTTATTTCTTGCACTTGAAACTGAAACTCCTGCTAGAAAGACCTGTGGGGTGATTGCATTTGACCCCTGGTCCAGAAGAGACCTGAGTCAGGTGTCACCTGGCTCCTAATGTCTGTGCCATTGGTTGGAAGAAAGGGCTAGGAATTGGGGAGGTGGACATGGAAGCTCTTTGAAGAGGTGAAGTAGGAGGTTGGCAGTGAGAGTGGCTGTGAGTGGGAGGCTGAGGGAGGTAAGAGTGAGGAAGAGGCGTTCACCACTGAAGGTTTTGGCTGCCGCGCACCTTTGGTGTTTGAGATGAATGAAGCCTGGCTGTCTCCTCACATCAGCCATCTCATTTAGATCAGTGCAAAGCCACACCAATGCCAAACACTCACAGCAAACCACACCCACGGCTTTGCCATATGTTCCCATTTTGCTGGGAAAATTACTTTTATGTCTTCTGGTCATTTGTTCTAGCATTGTGGAGGTTCAGTAAGGAAATGTGTTTCGCTACCTTTGTGAGAGAAGAAAACACTTGAAATGATCGTGTCAAAATTGGAAGTTTTTCTCAATATGCTTAAATCTAATTTGAGTGTGAATCAAAATAGCAAAGTGTTTCTCTTAAAGGTTTAAAATAAAAATGACATTTTCAAAACAAATCACTTTGTCCTCTGCTCTGTAATTTAGTGAGGCTGAGGAAGCCATAAATGAGTGTCTCATCACCTTATCCCCAACAGCTGCTGAAGGTGGAGTTGGGATTGTGGTGGGGCCTGGAGGGATTTGTTGAGTGAAGTCTGCTCTGGTCCCTGGTACACAGGACACTGGGGCTCCCTTGGGTGGCTTGGTCTGAGTCAAGATCAGTGGCCCCTTGTCTAGGCATTGTGCTCCTGTGAGGTAAGGAGGAGGAACTCATTCAGATTGGGAATCTTCCCAGATTCAAGAACCTAAGTAGAGGATGTGGGGCCTTAGCTGCTGATGTCAGGCCAATGAAAAGGAGCAGGGGTGGCCAAGATTGAACCCAAACCATTCTTTCTCAAACTCTTGGGTCATTTGTAAGAAATAAAGTAGAATCTGAAAATTGAGGAGGAAAACTTAAAAACGCTGTCTTTAATTGTTGCAATAATAAAACAACATCATTAATAGGCAGCTAATAGATTCAAATATCTTTATGTTCATCCACTTAGACATCTAATGAATTTAATTTCTTCTATGTCCTATACCTACTGGTTGATGCAAGGGTTCAAAGTTGAATAAAATACAAACATAGTCCCTACCTTTAATGTAGTCCCCATTGAAAAGAAACATGCAAATAAATAAATTTAACCAAATGTTATACAGCTGTGTCAATTGGCACTTGGATGTGTAACAAAATACTCCAAAACTTAGTAGCTTAAAACAACCACTACTTTCATGTAACTCGTAAGTTAGGACCCTCTGGATAGTACTGAGCCAACCTGACTGAT